TCTACAAAGTAGACTTCTAAGAAGGTCTACAAATGTGTAGACTTCTCTCTATTATGTGTAGACTTGCAAAGGACAGAACCGTAAAATAACTGTCTGTTTTTTTGTTTGGTCACAAGGGTTAAGTAGTAACTTCATAACCTCTTTAGGTTGGTTTTGCATTTGACTCAATAAGGGGTACACCTTTAGGGTTGAAATGAAAATTTAGGTTGGTTTTGGCAAATCCCCCATGAAAATTTAGCAAGATAGAACTATAATATTTAATTTAATTTTTTTTTAATTTTTTTTCGTTTGACCAGTTTTCAACTGATTTTATTTTACTATTTGGACTTAAGTTATTGGTATAAATGGATAACTTTAGTTTTAAACTTTTTCCACTATCTCACATAGATAAAGTTTTTGTAAAATAGATTCTAACTATATGAAACAAAAAAATGGAGAGGAGATGTGTGGTTATTGTTCTTTCATAATTTTTAAAGTATTGATCACATAATATAATATTTTTTGAGTTTCTAGTTTAAATAATCATAATTTTCATAAGTTACATGTAACTATTAGATTGTTTTTTGGGTGAAACTAAAGCCTAACCCCGGTTCCAATATTTTAATGTAAATGTATATAGTATAGGATTTTAGGGTAAGGGGTATTTACTTTCTATAAGAACTAAACATAAATATTTGGGGTAGAATTAAATGTTTTTTTTTTATAATTATTTCTACAAGCATAATAAACGCATTTGTAATTATATTTTTTGTCAATAGAAACACAACTTTTAGATTGTTTTTTTTTGAAAACCAACCTATAGATTCTTATATTTAAAGAAAGTATTCATGACATATGACATAGATTTTCTTTATAAAATTTGAACATCATTAATATGATATTAGCATTTTTAACCCAAAAGGTTTAATTTAGTAGATATAAAACCATCAAACCTAAATTCTCGTAATTTCAAACTTTTTTTTGATATAATAACTCTCCTAATTTGTAATAAAATAATAAAATCGTTATTAGCCAAAGATTATAAATGTGGAAGATGAAGTTTGATTTATAGTAGCAAAAAAAATCAAATTATAGTCACTCTCTTTCCGGTTCCATAAACCATTACCCCAGCTCTTTATTCCAACACCTAACACCTAAAACACATCCATCTAACACCACCAGAATCACTCAAGCTGAAAACTCAAACAACATATTGCTTGTAATTCTCGCCAGCCTTCACCACAACACACGGGATACTCTTCTGGTTAACCGCGTTAGGGAACCCGTGCGTCTCAAGGCACACACCTGCATGCTTCTCATAAACCACATTCCCTTTCCCCACCACTCCATTCACATAGTTCCCCGTATAAAACTGCACACCCGGAGCATCGGTCCACAAGTCCAGTACCCTTGAGCCGTCACCGTCTCTTAGCCTAGCCACGTGTTTCAGCCCATCTTTCTCTTGATCAGGACAGTCCAACACGTAGTTGTGATCGTATCCTATACCAACTTCACCTATGGACTCTCCTATACGTTTCTCCTCGGTGAAATTGAAAGGAGTTCCTTTTACGGGTAAGAGCTCACCTGTGGGAACTGAGTGTTCATCCACGGGGGTGATATTGTGGGAACTGAGTGTTCATCCACGGGGGTGATATGAGAACCCCAGATTTGGATCATGTGATTAAGAATGTTTCCTGATTCGTGACCAGATAAGTTCCAGTATGTATGCTGAGCTAAGCTATTTGGAGTGTCTTTGTTCTCCGGAACTGCCTCCATGTCAAGTCTCATGGTTGTTGCTGACGTGAGAGTGTATGTCGCCGTGATAGTAACCGCACCGAGATAACATATGAAAGGGAACAATAACATTATATATATTTAGCTTATCCAATCTCATATAATAACAAAGATTTTTGCTCTAACAACCTTCTTCTCCATCGGTGCTGTGATATTTGAAAGTGATTAAAGGTTTGCCACCGTCTTTCTTGTGTCCTGCGACTTCTCATAAATTTTTATCGAAACCATTGTTACCACCTGAAAGAAAAGAGTAACGTTTATGTTTTTACACATCCGATTAAGGTCACGTAATGGTACAAAATCATATACATGGAAGAAGAATGGTTAATAGTACCGTGAGGATATTGGGACCTTTGTTGATGGGCAAAGTGTAGTCGACTCCATTGAGACAAAACTTTTCCTCTTTGATCCAATTTGCTACATGACCAACTATGCACTACAAGAAAACTAAGAAATTATTAGGACATTTTACTAGGAAAATAATTCCTCGTAAAGTTATTACGAACTTACTTCGGTTTTAAGAGGAAAACTAGTTTCCTCGTAAGGTCCTCGTACAGATACAGTTTTCCTTGTAAGACCGTAGTAACCTTACGAGGAAAATACATGGAAAAAGTCCATTTCCTCGTAAACTCGTAGTAATAACTTTCCTCGTAAAGTCCTAATAAAACCTTACTACAAAATTAGGAGGAATGGATTTGTTACTATGAAATTAGGAGGAACTAGATAGAAAATATCGAATTTAAATCAAAAACGTGTTTTGTACCTACATTTCCTAGCAATTTCCTAGTAAATGCTCAGATTCAAAAATTTCTATAAATACCACCATTTGTGATTCATTTGAAACACACCAAAAAAAAATCAGCTATAAGCTTGATCAAACAAAAAAAAAACGTCCGGTCCTGGAAATATTTTCGAGTTGCGGAAGTGGATGTATTCACACAGAGATAATAACGGGAGGGTGAAGAAATAATTTCTCGAAGGGTTGGAGACGTTTATGCATCAAGTAGATTCTACACCACCCACGCAGGAAAGTGGTAAGATGTTATGTCCTTGTCGGAAATACTGCATGATATACCATGATTTTGACCCACTTTTGGTCATGGTATTGATATGTTTTTATGATAATTATATATATATCTTGGAGTCTATTTAGAGTATTTACAGGTTCAGGTACGTTCTGGAGAAATATGGTGATTTTGGTGTCTTTTGGAGCCTTTAAGTGCAGAACTGCACAGACTCGTCAGATGTTTAGATATGGATGGAGACCTTCCCATGGTGCGATTTAGCTGATATTTTTACACAAGATAGAGCTTCGAGTTAGCTTTCCAATACCACCTGTTTGGGGTCAATCCAACGGTTAGATCAGAAGTTATGCCAATTTTAGTGAGGCGTGGTCAGTCTGCCTCGTGAGAGAAGGCTGCCGAGAAGATATGTGCATGTCGATCGATGGGAGAAACTTCATATCGATCGATATGGATGCCAGAATGCGGGCCGAGTATATTTCATGACCAACTGAAGCCCAGAAGAAACCTAAATTACCAGAATGCCCTTGGACGACCAGAAACCCTATTTATGTTATTTGCAAGCCATTGTTGACGGCTATGCTATCAACGCTTTCTTTTCATATTTTGTTTCATTGTTCTTAGTGAGGAGAGAAGAGGGGAACTCCTTCAGAGTCCTCTTGGAACTCCTTCAGAGTCCTCTTGGAACTCCATTGGAATTATCTTTATTTTCTTATGTTATTATTATTCAGACTATGATTCGTGTTTCTTCTATCATGTCTGAGTAGTTCATCTTGTTAGGTTTAGGGATTTCATGAGCTTAATGTCAAACTGAATATCAATTAGGATTGCTAGAATATCTATAGATCTCTACATCAGGGTGATTTGTAATATTATGATCTGGAGTAATTAGGATACCACGATAGTGTGACTGATTGCTTGAACCTAGAATCCTAGAAAAATTGAGATACACGAAAGTACAGTCAATTAACGGAACCCGAATCCTGCTGGATTAGATACTTAGGCACATACGAGAATTGGTCTAGAAATCTAGTTGAACATAATCAATTAGGTCGTTAATGCTTGTCTGAGGTAATATCGATCGACACTCAGGCCATAGTATCGATCGATACTCACTTCTTGTTTGCATGCGAAAGGTGGAACAAGGACTTAGACATCTGATTAGTAATTGCATTGATAGATGGATTACTTACTTATTAAAATCGAGTTCTAGAATGAATCTATAAGCTGTTAGCATCTTGAATTGTTGTTTTGAATCTCTTGATTGATAAATCCCTAGGTCTAGCTATTTCTTCTTATTGTTTATAAACTCAACCAATAGAACAACTACTTTGTTTACATTGCTTTTATTTACTGTTTTATAAATTGTTTACCTAGCTTAACTTTGATTTCTATAGTCTATTGTGTGCTCCTACTCTCTGTGGATTCGATCCCTAAGTACTACGATTGAACCTCTTATTTGAGAGAGTAATTCACTCCTTAGGGTTAAACATTTGAGTGATATCACTGCAATACAAAATTAGGCCCTCGTGAAAATGTTTGGAAGCATTTAATAAATAGAGGTTTCATGCCATATTATTATATTTTGTATCAACATGGAGAAGACGATGCTAGTTGTAGGAATGAAGGTAATAGTAGTAATAGCAATTTTCAGGTTGAACCGGTTGATCATTTGAGTAATGAAAATAGCTATCATCACCAAGAGGAACAAATGGTAGATTGTGATAGGGTTCATGATATGGTAGGTGATGCATTTGTAACTCATGATGATGATGATGAAGTTGAAGAACCTAACTTAGATGCAAAAAACTTTTATGAAATGTTAGAAGTTGTGAATGAGCCAATTTAGAGTGGTTGTAGAGAAGGTCTGTCTAAATTGTCGTTAACTGCTAGAATGGTGAGAATTAAAACCGATCACAATCTACCTGAAAATTGTATGGATGCATGGGCAGACTTGTTTAAAGAGTATTTGCCAGAAGGCAATGTGTCTGTTGAATCTTATTATCAGATTCAGAAATTGGTATATAGTCTTGGGTTCCCCTCGGAGATGATAGACGTTTGCATCGACAACTGCATGATTTAGTGGGGAGATGATGAGAAGTTAGAAGAAGGTCGATTTTGTAAGAAGCCACGATTCAAACCGCAAGGTCGAGGGTGCAATAGGGTACCGTACCAAAGGATGTGGTACCTACCAATCACAGACAGATTGAAAATATTGTACCAATCTGAGGAGGCTGCTGGAGGGATGAGATGGCACGCCGAGCATACTCAGACGGATGGAGAGATGACTCATCCATCAGATGCAAGAGCCTGGAAACATTTTAACAATGTACATCCACATTTCGCTAGCAATAGCCGGAATGTGTATCTTGGATTATGCACTGATGGATTTAGTCCATTTGGAATGTCTAGGAGACAATATTCATTGTGGCCGGTGTTGGGCCCGAATTTAGCCCGTTAGCTGAATTAATGGGCCGAATAGTAGAAACCGTTCGCAAAGCATTACGAGCCCATTAGGAAGCCTCCCCTCAAATGAGGATCACATGAAATCGTTACCTATCGGTAAAAACAGGTCACGAACAAAAGACTCGGGACCTCGTTTACAAAACAGCTAACGAGAAGCAGCTCCGGGGANACTTTGTTCTTAGTCATTCTCTATAAATCATTGTTCTTTCTATTCAGATCAAAAGGATCATCTTTGTAAACTCTTTTATTACCGAAAATCAATATAAACAACGTATTCATTCATACAAGTTCCAACAGGATTCAGCCCACGATTATCTTTTCCCAATCTATACCTAACCTAAACTAGGAAGTGAGTTTTATCCCTCACATTTTGGCGCCGTCTGTGGGGACGAGATAATTGAATCCTTCACTCCGCAAGTTGAGAATGGATCCATCCAACCAGGCAACGAATCCATCCATCCCGGATCCCGTGATCCAGATCGACGGATCACCGAACAGAAGAGATTCGGACCCACAGGATCCGGAACCTCAACCCGCTGACCTTCGATCCGAGCAACAGCCTCCGGCTAACGCTCAACCGAACCAAACTGGAATAGCTAACCCGAGGTCTTCCGGTGGAAACAACACCGGAACTACTCCTCCTGAAAACCCTCAACGCCAACACACTCCGCATCACTCGGAAGCTCAGCTATCCGAAATGCGCCGAATGATGGTACAGTTGGTAGAAAGAGCTCAGGACAATGAGCGTACCTTGCAACAGCTAACTGCCCGGCAGCAACGGTTCNATTTAGCCCGTTAGCTGAATTAATGGGCCGAATAGTAGAAACCGTTCGCAAAGCATTACGAGCCCATTAGGAAGCCTCCCCTCAAATGAGGATCACATGAAATCGTTACCTATCGGTAAAAACAGGTCACGAACAAAAGACTCGGGACCTCGTTTACAAAACAGCTAACGAGAAGCAGCTCCGGGGAAACGTGCAAGACTTAGTCAAGAGGAAGCTGTTGCGAATCCCGCAACTCACGGAGATAATCATGGAGGCTTCGCCGGAAGAAGTTGGACGTGACCTAGAGCTATATAAAGAAGAGAAGAGATCAGAGAGAGGGGATTCGATCCATTCAAGAGAGAGAGACTCCAATACACTTTGTTCTTAGTCATTCTCTATAAATCATTGTTCTTTCTATTCAGATCAAAAGGATCATCTTTGTAAACTCTTTTATTACCGAAAATCAATATAAACAACGTATTCATTCATACAAGTTCCAACAGGATTCAGCCCACGATTATCTTTTCCCAATCTATACCTAACCTAAACTAGGAAGTGAGTTTTATCCCTCACA